GTAGGTTTTCTCTCTCTTCCCCTAGGGAATTATTTCTCCACCCCATGTGGTACGATTTTTCTGACACCCCTATGTATAGTATTCCTTAAATCGTTGTCAAACCGTTACTGTCATATTCTGACAAAGACCTTTTAAAAATATACATTTCTAACGCGTTAAAACATGTATGTTGAAATTGTATTTAGCCACTCACCTGCCAGTATTGTTGCCATACTCATCGTCAGAATCCATTGTCTATTTGACTGCCATCTATGTAAGTCAACTAGCTCCTTCAGCATCTAAATTCCTGGAAAAATGTAAAACTATAAATTACACTAACACATGAACAGCGTACGTGTATTTGCAATGTATTTTAAGTGATTTATCAAGAAGCACTGCTTAGAAATGGGAGGGAATGTGTGTCATTTTATACATTCAACTGTCTGACTTGTCGCAATGAAAGCTTAAAAGATATAAATCCTGTTCAAGTTGTTGAAGAGCTGGGGTAAAATGTCTCATTGCGTGGACACTTGACTACCTTTGAAACACTGCCCTACATTTTTCCATATATGTGACCACAAGACCCTTTAAAAACATAATAGGCCTACAACATTATCGTAAAAGGCACACTACTCCCAAAGGCCATTCAAAATTTACAATACAGCACTTCCGCATTACGTGGGGTAAAAATGGCCGCGAAACTTAATTGCAGCTAAAGTTGCCTGGTATATTTTTTGGCAATATATGTCCACCTACCCCTCCGATGCATAGATCATTTACTCCACAACCTTACCTTATATGGAACATTATCTTATATGGAACATCATCATATTTCCCCAGGCTTACCCATTTAACTCCTCAAACATTATAATACAACAGTTTCGCTTTAATCGTATTTGTATGGTACCCTTCCTAATTTCAACCCCAGCCGCTTCACTCATTCACCCCTGGAATTTAACAATAGACTTTCCCATGTATTGTTTTGGAAGAGTCTGAATGTGACATCCAGTGGATTACGTCAATACACAGTGAGTAGATATATAGTGCAAATTGGCCTAGCGATCTAAAATTATATTACTTCCTTAATTGCTGATCAGGATGAAACGAAGATCCACCGATTTAGCTATTAACTATATATAACTATATAAGATAAGATATTGATTGAGCATTGTATGATATAAATATGCAATATTCAATTCCTTAATGGCTTCAGTCATTTCCATGCAAGGTTATATAATCATTTACCTACCCTACAGTCTGTCTGCGGCTGCACCGGAACACGCACGGATACAATATAGCACCTGATCACACGTCACAAATAATTGACCTGCAGAAAATTCCTATGCAGCGAGTATACACAGTAAATAAGGATCACCTCTATATACGCTAGTTGTCAGACGTCACCCATATATAGATAATTTATAAGTACACACGTATGCTTACCTGATAACAGTAACGACACCAAGTATATGTGTTTTCAGAAAATCAATTTCTGCAATTCTGTTAAACACACTTCAAAAAGGGTGGTTTCGCTTTCTCTTCAACGTATATATACCTTATTTCTTGAAATCGTGAACTCTGTACGTATAGCTATGTTTTTGAATGCACCGTTTTGATGTACGTATTGTAATGAATACACAAGAGCACACAGCATCTAACCGATCAAGACAATGGAAATATTTCTACATTGTACGACGGGTTCCGCGTGAAACCACAGTGCTGAGCACACAAAATCTATTTTGTTACGTGTAATGAATGCTAATTAAGTTATGCCTATGCATGCGCACCAGTGTTTCCTACGAAAATCCTTACGATAGGAAATAGCTTTGAGTCAGGGAACGTTCCTTATTTCAATTAATTGAGAAGTACTGTCAAGTATGGCGTATATTTACAATTATTGAATACAAATATAAATTATTGCACATATATTTACATTTATTGAATATTAATATAAAATTTCGAACATACATATAAAATTGTTGAATATTGCAACGTTTGACGCGCCATACTCTTGCACATGCATGCCCGTGTTTCTCATTAAATGATATACACAAAAGTATTGAATAATCATTCGAAGTATGCCTTAAGCATTTTTGAAATATGCTTGACTGATGCCAGACGAATTTCTGCTAACTCTTGATGTATTAAGTTCATACGTTATTTTGCTACCAATCAGTAGGTGAAATATTCATTGATCCAAAGGGAGTGTGCATTATTTTGCCGTGTGCTGTTATAGTTAGGTTTTGATAATAATGAAACAAACTCTGTCAACTTATATTATGTTAATATTTCTTGTAGCTTCGAATTGAAGAGCGTGTTCTTTATGTGAGAGGAGAACACTCACGTGGTCGGGCAAGTGGTACAAAACCTTTACACTTTGGATCGGGGGAATGAATCCCGGCCGTCTTGGTGAAAAGCTAGTGACCCTATATCTATCTTCTGCCCCACCCGATAAAACATTAGGCGAAATGATACTAGAACCGTACAAATGACCTTTTCCCTTAGAGGTCACCGCTATAACAATTTCAAAAATAATACCAGGTATGATATGAAACAATAGAAACAGCGGCAACTCTATAGGCCAGAGACTTGGAAGATTGCTACAGCATGAAATAATCTAAAACTACGCGTGCATGCATGTAATTAAATCAGACTTACAGCAAACCAGCACGTCCTTTACCTTGAAGTAAAGTAAAAACCGCAATCGGAATCACAGGGACCTTATTTGGACCTAAAATAAGGTGGTCAGAGTAATTTCACACGTTCAATGGGTGTAGATCATCTTTCGGTAAAAACAAAATGTCACCCCAAATGACCGAAATTTGATCTAAACCAATAAAACGCATGTTTTTTTTTGATGAACACCTTAGTTAAGGTTCAAATATATATAGCTGTAACAAATTCTCAGGTCCCTGTGATCGGAATTGGGACTAATGCACTCGAATCTGATTAAGATGATTTTAGGTTATGTATATAAAAAGCGATATATACACACTGTTAGCATTGCAGCCTACGAATGAAGTAATATATTGAAACATAAAATCGGGAAAGGTTTCCACTCACATACGAAATCATTCAATGACATGGTTTCTAGTATAGAATACAAAGTATACACACCAGACGCAGCACTTCTTAAAATTCGGTAACAAAAAGTAAATACACATGTTGAGATACATTGTTAACCAAACACCAGCTGTACATATTCGAATTGCTGTTACATGTATGCATTACGTTTGCATGTGTCATATAGAACGCAAAAAATACATAATCTACATATTTGAATCTGTTTCTACAACTGTGCGTGTATTGTCAATGCAGTTGGTTGAGAGAAAGAGTTAGATAATCTATATATAATTCCTACAATTAAATGAATGTTCATGTAACAGGAAAGAGAATAGTGTCCTTCCTACGGGGATCGAACCCGCGATCCCTCTCCACTGAGCTAAAGGGAATTTCCCTCTAGCTCGAAGCGCAGCTAGAAGGCGACCGTAATCATATGCACAATTAAAATCTGCCACACATAAAATAATTTAAGTCCCCTATATTCTTCTATCTTCTTCTTCCGTCTGTTAGTGTCCCAAGATTTTTTTTTACAATTTATTAAACTTGATTTTTATTATTCTCTCAGACTTCCAAAGCCATGTTAGTTAGATCTTACTTCCTTTTTAGCTGGGAGCCTTACGTGAGATCATTGCAATTGGCTAATAGAGATTTTGTGTCATTTAGGGTTATTCTTGTGACATTCTGGATGATTCTCGTCATATTATTATTGAGTGATCTGGTTAAATGGTCTAGCCAGTCGAGAAGGTTAAACGGAATATTAATAAAATATCCGTTTATGCCAAATTATGGTGGAAAAAAATAGCGGCCTTCTAAGCACATAATATGAATAAATAAATAAATTTGAAATTATTTATGGAGTTATCAGATGTGTTTTCTTTTTCTGAATTGAGGAAATACAAAAATATCGAAAGCTTTACAATAAATATATGGTGTACGGTAATTATATATATAAGTGTAAGGGATCGAGAGTGTGCGACCAACAGATTCTATGTGATGGCGGTTATCTCCCTTGCTATGACGATCTTTAGTGTAAAGGAAGAAAATGGTGTAAGCCTGTTGACCGACGATGTTTCACACATGATTTCAAGGATACTTTGCGTAATTATTTGTTTCTGAGGTAATTACCAGTTTGTACCGGTTGTCACGACAATGAACATAATATTTGTATGCATAAATGTTATTTTCTTGAATTCGAAATTGATTTCAGCCATACCGTATATTGTCTCAGCACGTGGGGGATCTCGATGTTCCATTCCAGGTTTGGGGTGACATATGTCTGATCATTTAAACAATAACTGGTTGTCTACTTTGGATGTAATTATTGTTGATATAATTACAAGTAACCTCGGGCAAATCTACCATAAAANTATATTTACATATTTTTTATTTTTAAGACATATATTCCTACAAAAACCATTTGCCCTGCCTCAAAATACATTTCAGGCGGCCATTTTGTTTGTTTACATATTCCTACACCTGAAACAGGCAGTTGTAATTATAGTCGAGCAGTTGTAATTATAGCCTATATAATTACACTTGCCCTCTAACACTGTTGTAGTGGGATGGCGCGGGGGCAAATGTAAATATATGATGATGGACCGACCATCGTTTTAGGGAATGTCCCTGTTTAAAGCGACAAATTATTCGAGGTAATATAGCTGTTTACAGTGACAAAAATGCCTTGCTTCACATTCTAGAATAAAAATACATATAATATGCTTTGTCGTAATTTTCTTGAAACATACACAAGGTATTACCATTTTAATAGGACGAGGAATAGTGATAAAGATAGTGCCGTCACTGGGGCTCGAACCTGCGACCCTTGGCTCTCCAGCCCGATGCTCTACTGCTGAGCTAAAGGGAAATTCCCTACATCTGATACTTGTAAGGCTACCTAAGCAATGCTCATCTTTTACACCAAAAGGTGATAGTAATCCTGCAGTTAGATAACAGTTGCCTGTTCTGACATGAAGAATTATTACTCAGGCATGTGGGTTTCAGACGATTCGTCACCAAATCTGTTCCGTCCCAAGCTTTTTTGCTCCATTTTACTTCATAACGCTCAAAAAAAATCTTCCCAAAACTTCCTAACGCCCTTAAACTGTTTAGACAACCACTTCAAGAATCATCCTGTAGTTTATGACATTGAAACTCAGCTTGTAGAATAATCGCCTGCATTCAGAATAATCATAAGGTAAAAAAAATATGTAACAAACCATCATTATTACCCAAAAAAATGTTCATTTTTCAGTTTGCATCGATGTATTATATATAAGTTGTTTATTCAGGCAAATGAATGATAATAGTTTTTTTGGGTGATATGGGCATTGGCTAAATTTGGGCAATATAGATGTCAATTTGGATTGAAATAAGAATACATTTTGGGGTGTTAGTAAAAAAAATCACTTTTCTAAGTAAACGAAGTAGATCCTATGGAAAAGATATTGTTAAAAAATGTAGAAGATACAAAAATTGAAATAATTTTGAAAACATCTCATCAAGACACTCTTACATTATTTTGGACTTTACAAGTATCACAGTATGTAATACAGCATGTGTCCCAAACTTATTACGACAAATGCAGTACATGTAAGTACTTGGGCTGTCACAATATATTGGAAAACTTGTACATCGTTATATTCACAGGCATATCATATCGTATCGCAATACACAAATGAAATGTTGTTGTATTGCAATAATTTTCAAAATCTTGTTTTTATGAATTATGCTAGGTGCTTTTAACCTTACAAACTCCATTGTACTACATATTGTACCAGTTATGCCAATAACCATACACAGGCTATATTTGCGGTGGAAATCAGTTTAAATTTCATAATTGATGGTTTGTATAGCGATTTAAATCTTAATTAGCATCTTTTTCCAATGACAATATCGGATACGTATCGCAATATATGTGTATTGCAATATATTGTGATATACTCCAGGTATATTGTGACACCTGGGCCCATATTCATGAAACCGTTCTCATGCTCAAGCATGGATTTTGTGCTCAAACCAACATTCTTGTAACTCACTTAAATCATGTCAAACGATCAAAACGTCAAATGAAAACATTGAAAACAGTATTTGACTTTAAGTCTCTTCAAAGTTTTTCCAAATCATTGAAAAAATAAAATTTTATTATCAAGTTATAACCGGAACAAGAAATTAGACTT